CAGCCCAGTGCCTCCAGGATTGTGTGTCCCCCTCTCCCCAGGTGGGTGGAGGTGGTGGGTAGTGGGCTAGGGTCAGGCAGGCAATAAAGAGGAGACTTCCTGCCAGCAGGATGGTACTTATCCCTCACACCCTTGGCCCCTTTCTGGGGTCACCATTCTGAGAGCCAAACCTCTGGGCCTTGTTTCTCACACCCTGGGGTTGAGCAAGGCCTGAGCAAGACCAAATCCTGGTCCCTGCTGACAGTGCTTGGGGTCAGCACACAGTATGGGCCCACATTCTGGCTCTTGTCTTCTTCACTTCTCTGGTCTCTATCTCGGGATAGAGTCCCTCCCCCATCCTTCCCAGGCTTGGCCTCACTCTTCAGCCTCCAGTCCACTTTACTTTCCAGGCTCAGGCTTTTCTGGCAGGCTAAATCCACTGGTTACATATAATTTATTACTTTTTTTTTCTTTTTGTGGTGCTGGGGATGGAACCCAGGGCCCTGCACATGCTAGGCAAGTGCTCTACTACTGAGCTATACCCCAGGTTCCCCTTTATATGTTTTTTGTAGTTGTTGTTGTGGTACTGGGGATTAAACCCAGGACCTTAACCCTGAGTTACATCCCCAGCCCCTTCTTACTATTTATCTTGAGACCAGGTCTCGCTGAGCTGCAGAACTGCTCAGGTTGGGCTTGAACTTGTGATCCTCCTGCCTCAGCCTCCCAGAGTGCTGGGATTACTTCACATATGGTTTTATAGGCAGGGTCAAGCTTAGAGGACCATGAAATTTAGTCTACAATATTTTTCATAACAGTATCATCAGGTGGGAATGAACACTCAAGAGCAGGGTGCAAGGAAGATAGAGGTAAGGGCAGATTACATGAAGGACTGTTTTAGGAAATAATTGGTCCACTGCCTTTTTCGACTCCTTCACTATAAACACGGGACCCTGTACTCTGAAGACTCCCCCTTCTCTGCTATCGTGGGTCTCCAGCTAGATTGTGATGGATGAGATGACATGGATGGGCCTTGGGGAGGAAATCCACATTTGTTATGCCTCCTCTGTGTTAGATACCAGGCTGCCCATTTCTTGATTCTCCTGCTAATCTTTTTATAGGTGGGGAAATCAAGACTCAGAAATTCAGTGAATTGCTACAAGCAGCACAGCCAACTGACCTAGATCTTGGGTAGACGAGCATTGGATGTGCTCCAGGGAACCCTGAAGGGGAGGTAGAGTGAGGGCTGGAGACTGCCCCTTCAGCTTCCTGGACTCCGCAAATACCCCAAACTGGTCTTCCCAGTTCTAGCAAGGGAAACACAAATGAACACACACCATATAGGCTAGGGGAACACTCCCAAGGACCTGGGCCCTCCCAGGCTACAGCTTAGCTTCTCTAGCCCCAAAAGACCAGCAGATGGAACATGCTGGCTTCTGGGAAAGCAACCCATGCCCATACCCCAATCTTCTACAGTCTTCCAAAGAGACCCCAAAAGCAGGGGATTAAAGAGCTCAGTTCATCACCAGAGACCCTCCACCCCCAAGAATCCTCAGGACCCTTTCAGTTGGTCTCTATCTTAGCAGGTCAAGTTCACACTTCCGTCCCCTTGCCCAGAAAAATAGAGGCTGGAGTGGGTGGGTTGGAATACAGTCAGGACATATTCCAGGAAAGTGTCTTTTGTCTTACTCTGATCTTTAGCCACCATTGTCTAAGGAAACAAGGTTGCTGGTAATGAGCAGATTCCTAGAGCTATGCTTGCTTCAAGGAAGAGAGGACTCCTTCAGCCTTTACAGGAAAGTCAGAGAAGCACCCTGGGTCCCTCTTCCCAGAGCCCAGGGAAAAGTCAGTTATTCCAGATGTGGCTGGGCTGTTCAGTCTCAGAGGAGGCTCCTGAGTCCCTTAAAGAGAAGAAAGTGGGACTCTGGCTTAGGAGATAAGATGCCAGAAGACCAGTTTTCCCCTGGGTTAGGAGCAAGTCCTTAGGCTTGGAGATAAGATGGCAGAGAGCCAATTCTCCCCTAGGGTAGGAACATGTCCTTGGGGCTAAGAGAGTCTTGCACAAATGGAAGAAAAACACATCTGAGATCCTCTGGGGACACAAGGCCTGACCCAAGGCACTGCTAGGCTCTCCCCACCAGCAAGGCCAGAAGATGAGTCAGAGGCTGTGGCCAGGAGCTTCCTCCTAGACTTGGAGGAAATGAGCAAGGCTTTCTCAGAGCTTCAAACTCCACAGGGTTTGAAAGGGAGCCCCCAGGGGAAATCTAAGGCCAATGGGGTGTGGGGGTGGAGCCACAGAGAGAAAGAGCCAGCCTCTACACACCCACGAAGGGGGCAGGGATGATAGAGGCCAATGCCCAGAGTGGGAGGGCAGAGATATTTTGGCTGTCTCCAGTTCTCTCCTGGACAACTGTGCACAGGATCCTGGACAACTGTATCTAGGATGAAGTAGTGGATAGAGAACCTCTCCCTCTTAATTTTGTCCCACAACCTCGGACAGGGATACCTGGGTTTGGGGGCCACCTCTCCCTTCTAGGACAGGAAGGCAGACCTGAGTCATTTCTGTGCCTCTGGGGCACCCACTCATAGGACGAAGGGAGGAACCAGCTGTTGACATTTCCTGCAAAGAGGAGCCCTGCTCCCCTCTCCGTTAGCTCTCTGATGTCTCCTTCTCTGCCCTATTCTCAGTCCTTCTTCCAGTCTTCTATTCTGGGTCTGTGGTCACAGTTTATATTTGGGACAAGTACATCATAGTGCATCTGACCATTCTTGGAAAAGCTGCCAGCTCCAGAGAGTTCTGACTCCAGGCACTGTTTTAAGTTAGTGTGCCCATCCAGTCACCATATATTCACAAAGGGGTAAGGGGGCAGCCCTTAGTTACTCCAGGTGGGAGATCCTGAAAAGGGACAGACCAGAACACCCTGGGTTGGGGATGGGTGACTTACAATTCTCTGTGGAGCTCAGTGGTGTCCTCAGCTAGGGAGCAGAGGACAGGCACCTGGTGGGGTGAGGAAATCCCCCCACCCCAGGGTGCTGGGAAATCCAACCCAGGCCCTTGTGCCTGTATAGGAGATGGATTTCTAAAAGAGAAGGGATGGTTACCAGCCTCTTTTCTCCAGCTAACCTCCCAGACCTGCCCCCAGCTGTGAAGAGGGGTGTAAAGACAAACTCTTGTCCTATAGTGGGGAAATGGGAGAAATGTTATCTTCCCCGTAGTGCTCCATCCTTATTTCTTTAAAAGTGTTTTTTTTTTTTGGTACTGGGGATCGAACTCAGGTCCTTGTGCTTGCAAGACAGGTGGCGGACCCACTGAGCTAAATCCCCGGCCCCCATCCATCCTTATGTCTGAACCAGGAATTCCAGGAGCCTGACCGCCCTCAGCTTGGCACCCCTTTCTCCCTATTCTGAAAGGCAGGTGGCCTCTGGTTGGGCACACTTCGTCGAGGTCCACTTCAGCTGGTCACCTTAATCTCGCAGAACAAGAAGGGGCTGCATCAAAACAACAGAGGAGGGCTGTGTGCTGCATCTTTTTAACTGTGGCCCTGAAGCACCACTCCCCAAGCCAGTAGTTCCCCCACCCCTCCCGTCTGCACCCGGAGGCAGAGGCGGGGCTGTTCGAGGAATGCAGGCCGGGGGCCCGGTGCCCAGGGCACATTCCAGGGGAGACCCCGGGCTTCAGGGGCAAGTTTGCGCAACTCAGTGCACAGCTGAGGCACCCCCCCACCCCGCCCCCCGACATCTCTCCTCTTCCCCACTACTCCGGACAAACTGGCCGGCGAATACTGAGGGATCGTAGTGCGCCTCCCAGAGTCCTGGCCTGGAAACAGCGCGCCGGAAAGGGCTGCCTGCGGGGGGCTGAGTGCCGCGAGCCGAAGGGGAGGTCAGATCAACCATTTGGAAAAGGGCCCCTCCCGCGTAGTGCAAAATCAGCCAAAAGACCTCGATAAACTAGGGCAGGCCAGCGGTTTAAAATTAGCCGGGCCTGCCCTCTCCCTTCCAGGCACTGGCCTCTGGTTGCGGGTGTAGAAGGTAGTAGGGTTGGTGACTCAAAGGGCTTTTCCACCCGTGCCGCCTCCCGCCCTCCGCAAAGCCTCGCCTCGGCCGCTCCCAGGGGACTCCCCTCACCCAGTGGAATCCCTTCTTGCCCAGTCCTCCCAGCCCTCGCCCACAATTACAACGGAGATATTCGGTCCCATAGGTCCCAACCCAGCCTTCAGACACCGCCCCAGCCCAGTACACCTCCAGAGGCCCGCCCCGGGTCCGCCTCTCCTCGTGGTGCCGCCTCCGCCTCACCTGAAGCAGGTGGAAACTGCTTCCTCCCCAGGTCTGCCTCCTAGGTCCGCAGCAGTCTGAACTATTACAGTCACCATGCCTAGGGCAGACACCCTGGCAGAGGGCAGACTCGGGGCACCTCTTCAGAGGGCCTCACTTTGAGGGGGCAGTCTGGGTGGCGCAGACCACTAGTTCCCATCTCTCTTTGAGATCCCAACTTGAGAGCCCCACCCCCGGCAGAGGACCCTAGAACTCCAGCCAGAAGACCTGGTCCTGCTTCTCCCAGAGAGGCGCCTCCCACCGGCTTTCACGGCGCAGACCCTGAATCCCCAATCGCCTCAACCTTTCTCCACCACCCTCACCTTGAGTGGCGCCCCCAACAGGCGGTGCAGCGCAGGTATCTGCGTACTCAGTGGCAGCCCTCCATCCAGGCTACAGGTCGGGGGCCGGCGGGGCTCCGGGAAGTTGGCACATGCAAAGGGGTCGGTGTCTTCCAGGTACTGCACCCTTACGGTCACCACTGATACCGGCTCCCCGTCCCCGCGGTCTTCCCCGCCCGCCATGACTCAGCCGCCGGCTCACACCGCGCGCCTCACAGTGCCTGCCAGGGGGCAGCTTCGCCTCGACTGGCTCTGCTGTTTGGGCCGGGCTGGACCGGACGCTGGGGAGGAGCCAAATAGGCGGGGCCGAGGAAGGGGGTGGGGCCAAAATAAGGCTCTGAACTAGCGCTAGGGGTAACACGGCCAGGGGCGGGGCTTACACCAGCCACTCAGAGAGTCGGGCGCGATCCCGTTAGTTTCCCCACTAGGAGGCGGGAAAACCCCTGCTAGCCCCCGCTAGGAGGGCGCGGGAAGGGCGGAGAGGCTTTCTTAGGGTTAGGGTTAGGTGAGGCTGAGCTTCGCTCGGGGATGTTAGGCCGGTGGAGCGGAAGTTTCTTCTGGCTGGTTCCTTCTCCCTCGTTTAGGCCCCAATTCCTACAGTTTGAGATATCAGTGGAAGCATTTCCCTCACTTCGGGAAAACGGTAAGAGGGGGGTCTCTTTCAATTTGGGGCAAAAAGTGAAAATAGATTCCACTGTTTGAAAGAAGAGCAGAATCGGTACCCTTAAGTAGTGGGAAGAAGGACGGGTTGCTCTTTCTCTAAAAAGAATAGGATGAGTCAGTTTGAGGAGGCAGGTAATACATGAGCCTACACTCAGTTTGGGATAAGTGGGTTGGGTGCTCCTTAGCTTGAATGAAATGAGGAGACAATCTTCCTCTGGGGCGAAATAAGACGAATGCCCCAAAGTTGGGTGGATCGCTCTTAGTTTACTGGGAATTCCATAGGTTCTTTTCGGTTTCGTGGAAAAAGTGTGCAGAGTTCCCTGCAGTTTGAGGGAAAAGAGAGTCTCTTCAGTTTGAGAGATAAGAGAAAGCCTTCTTTCCAGACTGGAGTGAGCTGAGGCCAGCCAGGGCCTGGGAGTTTTTGTAGACGGAAAAGTTGTCCTCGGCTTTCTGGGAGCTCCCAGTGCGCGTGCGCAGTTCTGCTCGGGGGCGGGTGCCAGAAGGGGGTCCTGGGTTGCGGGCAGTTGCTCGCAGGGCGGCGACACACTGCCCCTGCAGTCTGCACCGGGGGATGCGTGGCCCGCGCGGCCCCAGGGGCGGGTGCACACTGTTGAAAGAGCCGCGCCCCTCCAGCCCGTCCCAGTCCCTGGGGGCCTCCGCCCCTCCAGCGACGAGCTGCCCCCTGCAGCTGTCCCCGGAGGGCAGTGGCCACTTACCTCTCTGTATCCGGTCCAGGGGCTTTTTGGGAACGGTTTAGGGGAGAGAACTCGAAGGACTAGGTTTCGGGACTCGGGGAAGGGCTGGGCTCGGGAATTTCCGCTGCTGGGGATAGTCTAGAGGGAATGGAGGAAGGGATCCAGACTACGGGCATCCGGGGCAGGGTCTCCGAGTTCCGACCTGGCCCAGGGGTATCCGGGCGGGGATTGGGGGGAGCAGGTCCCACGTGCCTGTGACGCGGGGGCTCCCGGTAGGCGGCGGCGGCGGCGGCAGCGGCGACGCGGGGCTGGTGGTCTTGCGGTGCCGGGAAGACGGCGAGACAGCCTGCAGAATGCCGCGCGCCGCACTGCCTTTGCTCGTGCTGCCCCTGGCAGGGGTGGTGGCGGCCGAAGAGACTACCCAAGAGCCTGGGGCGCCGGGCGAGCATCCCCCGGGATTGGCGCTCTTCCGCTGGCAGTGGCACGAGGTGGAGGCGCCCTACCTGGTGGCCCTCTGGATCCTGGTGGCCAGCCTGGCCAAAATAGGTGAGTGCGTGTGTGCTTGCATGAGCCAGGCCAGGGGCCGGCCGCGGACCTTCCCCCGACTCCCGGGTCCCCCATCTGGGCCAGGTTCTTGCACAGTGCACAGAACTTAAGCTCTGATTCCACAAATCCCAGCTCTCACCCTGTTCCTGCATCTCCTCTTGAGGGTCTCTAGCCTCACCTTTTCCATTGTGGGAGCTCTGAGAATTTGCCTTCTTGAAAGGTCCCCTTCATCTCAGCTCCATATTTGGGCTCCTTTGCCCTTTCTGCTTCTCTCTTCCCCTTGCAGTGGGCTCTCCTCAGCCCAGCCTGTCCTTACCAAAGCCCAGCCTCCCAGAAAGCTCTGTCAGCAGTGAGGTGAGGACGTGTGGGGATGCCTAGGGGGTGGTAGTCTCCAGAAACCCAGGCATCCTAATTCTGAGGACTCAACCTTCCTTGGAGACCCAGGTCTAAGTGTGTATTCTCTTGGGATACTAAACTGCCATTTTCCTTCTAGCTCACCTCTGTGTCCCACTTCAAGATCCCAGCTTCTTGTACCTAGACATGGGAACCCCCCACACACACACTTATTCAAGTTCACATTCTTTCATTTCAGAGCCTAAGAAACTTCCATTTGGGGCTAGGGATGTAGCTCATTCGACTAGCATGTGCAGGGCTCTGGGTTCAATCCTCAGCACTGGTGGGGGAGCACTTTCATTTATTGGTGCTTCACTGTGTGCTGCGCACCCTAGGTGCTCTCCAGCCGCCCCCCCCCCCGCCAGGTGCTTCTATGTGCCTGACCCCCTTCAGTCCTCACAACATTGAAGGCTATGCTTCATTCAGGCTTTCTTCTAAATAGAGCTGCTTTTCCTGCTTCTGCTCCTTCCTCCCCCTGTCTGATCAGCCAGTGGTCCCTCCTCCCACCAGAGACCCTCCTCCTCCCTGTTGTGCAGGCTCTGCTGTGGGGGTGACTAATTATAGCTGAGTGTTGCTACTCACCCCCCATCTATGCTGGCACAGCCTGTACTCCAGTCTCACCAATACACCCTTCATGTAGAATCCCACAGCCTAGAATTTGCCCCCTTCTCTCCAGACACTGCTTAGGGGCGGGAGCCTCAGCAGGAACAGAACTTTCCACTCTGCTTTGGCTGCTGGAGATTAATAATGGAAAGTAGGACTCAAAATGCCTTCAGGGAGCCTGATTCTGCCAGAGAACTGGCTTTTCTGATGGGTCTTGGGTTGCAGGGCTGGTGCATGCTGAGGAAATGAGGGTGAAGTAGGGTCCCTGGAGGAGAGGAAGGGACATCAAAGGCAGGGATGAATGTACTGTATGGCTGAGCTCACCGCAGAGACCCTGGAGCAGTGAGACCAAAGTGGGAACAGCTTCAGATTTGGAGCTAAGGATTATATTTTCTGAGAAGTCTGTGAGTTGTGGAAGTGTTCCTGTCTTCGGGTTTATAGTGACAACTGTAGTTTTCCCCATATATTATAGTGCTTTTTCTAGTTTGGGTGACACCTATGGAGGAAGAAGAGAGCCTCCTTCTTACCAGGCAAAGGAAAAGAAGAACCCTCGAAGAGGAGGGGAAAGGTAGATGAAATATTCAGGAACCCCTAACAGCTTCATTTCTAGATCCCTCTCTTTTTATTCAACAGATATTTATGTAGAGCCCACTGTGTGCCAGGCACTGTTCTAGGTGGCCCCTTTGGGTACAGTTGCCAAAGGGCACTGTCTTGGGATAGGCTGTCATATACAGTAACAGGGAGCCTCCTCCACCAGCACCCTAGGGATTGTGTATGGTGAGATATGCTTATTTATAGTCTGAGGGCCCAAGGAGCAAATGTAGGAGTGACAAGCAATAGAACCCCCCCCACTTCCTAGGGACAGATTTGTTATTTTCCCCCAGATTCATACTTAGTTAACATTTGTTGAGAACCTGCCCTGTGCCTGTCACTAGGCACATTTGCACACTTTATATTATTTTAGCCTCACTCTTTGTGATGGATATTTTCCCCATAATAACAAGAGAAGAAATTGAAGTTCAGGTAAATTAAACAATTTGCCTGGACTGAGGATATATCTCAGTGGTGCCGTGCCTGCCTGGCAAGCGCAAGGTCCTGAATTTGATCCCCCGTACTGGAAAAAACTACATTTGCCTGAGATCACACAGAATAAGGTGGAAAGAAGACAGAGATCTGACTGCTAAACCCAAAGGTTTTTAAACAACTAAGTCCTTTTCATTCCCATTGAACAAAAAGTACATTGGGCTAGAAGCCCTATACTGCTCTTAAAAGATATGATATTTGTTATACTTGGAGAGCCCTAACTATGTTATATATGTAATATAATAGCATTTATCATAATAGGTACCATTGACTGCTTACCATAAAGCATTGTACTACATGGTTTTAACTAGATTATTTAGTCCTCACAACAATCCTATGAGATCATTATTATTTTTACTCCCATTTTGCTGATGAGAAAACTGAAAACCAGACAGGTAAAATTATTTGCGTCAAGATCATAGAATGAGTTAATGGAAGACTTAAGTTTTGGAACCCAAGCATCCTAACTTTGGAGGATCTGATTTTTCAAGCTATGTTTTGAATGAGACCCAGTGGCATTCAAATAATGATTAGGGAAAGGAGATCAGAGAAAAATGAAGTCCCCTGAGGATGAGGGAAGAGAGGAGGGAGCATTTCCAGGAAAGGAAGAAGCAAGTAAAGATCTTGCTGCAGTTTCCGGCTCGGCGGTGGAGGGAGCTGTGTACGTTGAAGGAGGTCAGCTTTGGAATTTGTGGCTCTGGCGAGATTGAAATCATGGCAGGTCCAGAAGCCAACGCCCAGTACCAGTTCACTGGCATCAAAAAATATTTCAACTCTTACACTCTCACAGGTAGACCAAATTGTGTACTGGCCACATATGGAGGCATTGCTCTGATGATCTTGTATTTCAAGTTAAGGTCTAAAAAAACAAAAATGCCAGCTGTGAAAGCAACATAAGTGTGTTGGGAATCAAACCCAAGGCATTGTGCATGCTAGGATTTTACAGTATCTGACTTCATCTGTGAAGTTCCCGCGCCTAGAAGACCGTCACTCATCATGTAATACTCAGTTTGTACAATAAATTATGAACCTGGAAAAAAAAAAAAGATCTTGCTGCAGTGGAGGGATGGTAGTGCTAGAAATTGGAGATTGTAGACATTCTGAATTTCCTTTTTCCTGTCCTCATCCCAGGGTTAGGGTTCTGACTTAGGGTAACCTTTTAAGACTGGGAGGTTATAGTTGATATGTGACCCATGAGCTCATACCTGCTGCCTTCTTCTTACATTGTAGTGTTTCACTTGTCTCGGAAAGTAACATCTCTGGTGCCTGAGAGCTGCCTGCTGATTTTGCTGGGCCTGGTGCTAGGGGGCATTGTTTTAGCTGTGGCCAAGAAAGCTGAGTACCAGCTGGAGCCAGGCACCTTCTTCCTCTTCCTGCTGCCTCCTATCGTGCTTGACTCAGGCTATTTCATGCCTAGTCGGCTGTTCTTTGACAACTTGGGTGCCATCCTCACCTATGCTGTGGTGGGAACACTCTGGAATGCCTTCACAACAGGCGCTGCCCTCTGGGGCCTACGGCAAGCTGGATTTGTGGGTAAGTGACCCTGAAACCTGGACTGGCTTTCCTCTCTCTTCTGTCCTCCAGTTCTGAAGGTCCCATGCTGGCAAGAGCCACGCTCTAGGAGCACTGTTTTAAGTCCCTCCCACCTGGAGTGCAAGGCAGTGTTCCAGATGGGCCTCAGCCTTCATCTAGCTCTCTGCCAGACAAGTCTGTGCTTCTGCAGCATGACAGCTGAGCAGGGGTCTGGCTCCCAACTGTGTGTGGGCTGCCAAGGCTGAGGAGCCTGCATTACCACTCTGGTTTCCCTGCCTGTGTTACCACACTGCCACTTGCCAGCCCTACTCCCTGAGGCATAGCTCACCATTTCTGCAAAGGCCTATTGTCCTGATTCTGCTCAGGCCATGTCAGGGTATCTTCCTGGTTTTTTTATTATTTTAAAATACGGGGGCCAGGGATTTAGCTCAGTGGCACTGTGCCTGCCTTACAAGCATAAGGTCCTGAGTTTGATCCCTGGTATCGGGAAAAAAAAGAAAGAATGTATATAAAATACATATTATACATCCACAAAATGCCTGGAACTACAATGGGCTTTCTCTCCCTATTTATCTCATTGACTTCCCGTAGCACCCTGTTGGAATGTAATTTGTCCCACTTCATAAATGAGAAAGTAGAACCTTGATATCAGGCCCAAGGTTAGCCTCCATTTTACTGAGGCTCCTTGCCTTTAGGTCCCCTACTGCTCCCTTCTTTGTTTCCTGACCCAAGAAATCTATTTACTCCTGATTTTGATAATACAGAGGTTTTTCCAAGGTAAAAAGTTTGAAATTTCCAGCTGGGGATGTCTACCTGATTTTTCTAATAAGATAGTGAAATATTTGGGGCAAGGGAAGGGAAGACATCAGATCCTGATCTTAGCAGTAATTCTAATAGTAGGTAATATTTGTTGGGTGCTTACTATTAAACACTAGCTAGATAGTTTTTTGAGGTAAATGGTGTTGTTATTCCCATTTTGCTCATGGAGAAACAGGATCATTGAGGTTATTTAGCATGTTCAAGTCCCTCTTTTGCTTTTCATACTGTGTTCTGGTCTCTTCTTCCTGCTAAGAGCTGTGTCAGATCTCTTTGGCTGAGAATGACAGGTGTGGGAGAAAGCTTTCTTGTTATCCTCCTTAATAAAGCCAGTTAGCAGCCAATTTCCACCTGCTGGTAGCTACTAGTACTGTTGCTACAGTTTTTATTACCAGCGCCACCTTAGCTTTTCACCTAAAATCGGGATTTCTTAGCCATCTCCTGGGTTGTTCTTTGCAGTCGTCTTGTGAGGTAGTCAGATGAAGAGGCACAGCTAAGAAGTCATGTGATAGTGGTGGAGCTCATATGACACAGCTGGTGAGCAGTAAAACCATGCCTCAGGCATAGGCAGCTTGGCCGAAGACTCCTGACCTGCAGGCCAATGCTCTCCTCACCTTCCCGAGTTCTGTTTGAGCTTCCTGTTTTATCAATGAGAGTGGCATCTGGGCTAGTCCCAGGAGTGCCACAAGAGACAGAGTCATTTTTACTAGTTACTGGCCCCTCCTCCATCTCTCCCCCTGTAGCCTCTAGGGTACAAGCTGGCCTGCTGGACTTCCTGCTATTTGGGAGCCTCATCTCAGCGGTGGACCCTGTGGCTGTGCTGGCTGTCTTTGAAGAGGTGCACGTCAATGAGACTCTCTTTATCATCGTCTTTGGCGAGTCCCTGCTCAATGATGCAGTCACTGTGGTGAGAGTGCTCAGCCATCCCATGATCCTAGGCTACCAGCTCTGACCTGTTGTGCATCTGAACAGCTTCAAACCCTCCTGGTCCCCTGGGGAAGAAATAGGGTCTTTGCTTCTTCCCCTGTCCCAGCAGCCCCAGTCACAGCCTCCCCCTCACTCCTGAATCTCCTCTTCTCACTTAGGTGCTGTACAAAGTCTGCAACTCCTTTGTGGAGATGGGTTCTGCCAACGTGCAGGCTGCTGACTACCTGAAGGGAGTCGGTCAGTATTTCCCCCTTTTAGCTGGCATTGGAAGTCTGCCTCCCCCAGGTTGTGAGTCTTACCTTCCTGGCATCAGTACAGAAGAGGTTGTTTGGGTGGAAAATGGGGTCTGGACAAGGCTTACCCTGGGATCCTGGGTTCTGGGATCTTAAACCCTGGCGATTGCGGTGGACATCCTCCTCCACTTTCTGCCAGGCAGCAGTATTGTCAGCCCAGGAAGGGTCTGGGCCAGGATCATGCTGATAACCCACTCCTCCCCCAGCCTCCCTGTTTGTGGTCAGTCTGGGCGGGGCAGCCGTGGGCTTAGTCTTTGCCTTCCTCCTGGCTCTGACCACACGCTTCACCAAGCGGGTCCGCATCATCGAGCCCTTGCTGGTCTTCCTCCTCGCCTACGCAGCCTACCTCACTGCTGAAATGGCCTCACTCTCCGCCATTCTTGCGTGAGTCCTGGGGGCATTGTGGGTAGGCTACTGGGAGGGAGTACTGGAGGTGGTCACCCCAAATACAGACAAAAACAGGACCCTCAGGAGTCCACAGGATTCTTTGAGCCCTTATGGTAGTGAGTGCCTTAAATGTCCCTGGGGAGACAATAAACTTGAGGTAATCTAGAACTGTCTGGATACCCAGAACTGTCCTGGGGACCCAGGAGCCTAATCTTCATCTGGCCAAAGTGTTCTCTGGAGTGTGGGCTGAGCTGGAAGTGAACTTCAGGCCTGGGGCCACTGGCTGTGGTGGCCACAACATCCAAAAGGTGCCTCAGAGTCCGCTAGTCAGAGCATGTTTCTTTCCTTTCCCCCTGCAGAAGGCACTGAGGGGAAGTTGGGAGATTAAGATCCTTCCCATGAACACCACTAACTAGCAGTGTCCATGCCTCCTTGGGCTTTGGCTCTGAGAGTCTGACACTCTGTGATAGGCTATGCCCCCTCCTGAAGCATGCTCAAACCCCAGAGGCTCAGCCTGCTGGGACTCCCCCCTCACTTGCCTTATCTTTCTGTTCCTCTCCCAGGGTGACCATGTGCGGCCTGGGCTGTAAGAAGTATGTGGAGGCCAACATCTCCCATAAATCACGTACAGCTGTCAAATATACAATGAAGACTCTAGCCAGCTGTGCTGAGACTGTCATCTTCATGCTGCTCGGCATCTCGGCTGTGGATTCATCTAAATGGGCCTGGGACTCCGGGCTGGTGCTGGGCACCCTCATCTTCATCCTATTCTTCCGAGCCCTTGGTATTGCTGGCGCACTCTGCTTCCTCACTGTCCTCCCCATGCCCCCTCTTCCTGCACCTTATCCCCCAATCTGAATCTAGATCCTTGCCAATTCTTAAACCTCCCTCCATTTGTTGCTCACCTTTCCCATCCCCTGCTACCTTAGCCCAGATACTTGGTGCCATCCACTCCCAGTCTCCTCTGTTCCCAACGCTTTGCTCCTGCTGGCCTCCCTCCTGCTGTAGGCGTAGTCCTGCAGACGTGGGTGCTGAATCAGTTCCGGCTGGTCCCTCTGGACAAGATTGACCAAGTGGTGATGTCCTATGGGGGCCTCCGGGGGGCTGTGGCCTTTGCTCTCGTCATCCTACTGGACAGGACCAAGGTCCCTGCCAAGGACTACTTTGTGGCCACCACTATTGTGGTGGTCTTCTTCACAGTCATTGTGCAGGTGGGAGTGCCTACAAAGCTAGGTGGGGAGAGGGTCCAGCAGGCCCTGGGGATCTTGGAGCCTATGGGACAGGGACTTCTTTTCCTGTTGGGAGAAGTAGGGGCCTGACTTCCCAGACCTTGAGTGGAATGGGATGGGGGGACAGAGGTGAGGCCAAATTGTGGGGAGAAAAGAGAGGCTGCAGGGAACCGAATAGGGCAGGGCTCACCTCCTGCCTGTCCGTAGGGCTTGACCATCAAGCCTCTGGTCAAGTGGCTGAAGGTGAAGAGGAGTGAGCATCACAAACCTACCCTGAACCAGGAGCTGCATGAGCACGTGGGTACCAGAACCCCATCCTTCCACCTGTCCCTCTCTCCCTTCTCCTATTTTGGCAGAGTCCTGATCCAGTCCCCCTACCCACCCCCCTTCTAGACTTTTGACCACATTCTGGCTGCAGTGGAGGACGTTGTGGGGCACCATGGCTACCACTACTGGAGGGACAGGTGAGGGAGCTGCCCCGAGGCTCCTTCAGCAGCAGCAGCAGCCCCACCAGCCAGGGCAGCATGGGGGATGTGCCACCCTTCTAAGAAGGGACACAACCAGGTTCAGGCTGGTTGACCTCTGCCTGAAGCCCTTTGTAGCATCTCAGTGCTCTTAGAAGATAGGTCTCCCCAGTGTGGCCTTCTTGGCCCTGCATGGTCTGGCACCTGCTAGACTCCAGCCCCACTGTGCTCTGCTCTGTCTACCTGCTAATTACTTGACCCTATTTTAGAGCCTCAGGACCCACCATGATCCCTCAGCCTGGCCATTGGGGACAACATTGCACAGGTTGTTTTCTCTAATAGATCTCCCTTACCTCTTTCTCGCTTCTTTTCATCCTTCAGATCTCACCATAGGCATCAGTTTCTTAGGGAGGGCTTCCCTGGCCTCTCCAAGTAGGGCAAATCCCTGAATATTCTATGATTATCCTTGGTAGTTTCTTGTCATGGTTGCAATTTACACTTATTTGTAATAACTTTAATTAACATCAGGCTTTTCCCTAATACTGTAAACTCCATAAGACCAGAGACTAGCGTTGAGATTCTCCCTGGCTAAGACCCATACCAAAAAAGCCAGGTCAGTGCTGGTCAGGTGCCTGCCCAATCTGAGGAAGGGCCAGCCAGCCAGACTTTGAGGGTGATACTCAGGACCTGGCCTGGCATCCTCTGTAGGTGGGAGCAGTTTGACAAGAAATACCTGAGTCAGCTGTTGATGCGGAGGTCAGCCTATCGTATCCGGGACCAAATCTGGGATGTGTACTACAGACTCAACATCCGGGATGCCATCAGCTTCGTGGACCAGGTGGGCCAGTGGTGGGTGGGAAGATGACCAGTGGAGCAGGAAAGAGACAATAGGTAGGCAGGCTTGTAAGCAGGGAGCAGGGAGTTGGGAATTCCCACCTGGCTCCATAGGTGGGTGCAGGAACCAGCCTAGCTTGGGGCTCATATTGAGAATCTGCCAGGTAGTACAGAAAGGTGGGAAACAGCAGGACTCTGCATTCAGCAGATGCGGTTCCAGTGTTACATTTACAGGCTTGTGACCTTAGGTAAGTCACTTGTATTGTGTGAGACTCAGTTTTCTCAGCTGTAAGAAAGCAGGAACAATAGTACCTATGTTAGATTTTGTAGATTTAATACATATAGTATTTTTACAGGATCTAGCACATAAAAAGAGCAAAATAAGTTAGTTATTGTTATTTTTATTACCCTCTGACTGTCTGGGCCACCCTCCATCTGATTGCTATCTGACTTTGGTCTTGACCCCTACAGGGAGGCCACGTCTTGTCCTCTACAGGCCTCACTCTGCCCTCTATGCCCAGCCGCAATTCTGTGGCAGAGACATCTGTCACCAACCTGCTGTGAGTTCATTGAGGCCTCTTTCCCTTCCCCACGCGCCTCTCTACTGGCCCTCTCCCTGAATCCCTTCTGGGAAAGATTTGTCAGCAACTTTGCTTTTGCCTTTCTCCTGCCCTGTGGCTCCTGCCTCCTCCTCGGCACACATTACCCTGCTTCCTGTAGGAGGGAAAGTGGCAGTGGAGCATGTCTGGATCTGCAGGTGATTGACACGGTACGCAGTGGCCGGGACCGTGAGGATGCAGCAATGCATCATCTGCTCTGTGGAGGCCTCTACAAGCCACGACGCAGGGTGAGAGCAGGAAGGGCAGAGACCCAAGGGTGGTGGTGGGTGGTCTGGGGAGGTGTGATCAGAGTCAGAAGAGTGGTTGGTGCCAGCTATAGATGCCTAGCTGAAGAGTGCAGGTTTTCATCCTGTGGGCAATAAGAAATCTTTGTGTTTTGTTTTGTTGGAGGAAGGGTTGGCCTTCTGTGGTAGCAGAGAGCAAACCATATTGGAAGGTGTAAGTTGAGAGATGGAAGGAAGCACTGTGAATTAGAACTGGGTAAGGGAAAGGAGCACATAGGATAGGAGTGAGGTGGGTTTTGGCCCTGAGGAGGAAGGAAAAGATGATGAAGGGCCAGTTTAGCAAGGGGGGTGGGCAACCATCTGTTTAAGGTAACTTGAGTTAGTCCCATGCAGATCCTAAAGCTTCAGGGCTGGAAAGGCCCAGCCCATCTGGGAGAGAATCTGTTGCAACCCCACAAGGGGGCAGCAAGCCATTATCTTGAACCTTTTGAAATGAAGCCTGCTGCTGTTGTCATTCCTGGCAGTTTTAACAGACAAAGCTCTTAGAATGTTGAGACTAGCCTGGCCTGGTAGCTCATGCTTGTAATCCCAGCTCTGGAGGCTGAGGCAGGAGGATCACCAAAGTTTGAGGCCAGCCTAGGCTACAATAGTGAGTTCAAGGCCAGCCTGAAATATACAGTGAGACTCTGTCTTTAAAAAAAAAAAAAGGGGGAGGGGGATTTAGCTCAGTGGTTCCAGCGCCTGCCTTGCAAGCACAAGGTCCTGAGTTCGATCCCCGATACAAAAAAAAAAAAAGATGTTGAGACAAGATTGGCTGCCTTTAATTTGCATCCATTGGTCCTGATTTGCGTCTTTGAAGCTCCATGGAATAATTTTCAAAGACTTTAACACAGTTTCCACATTGGCCTTCCTGCCCTCAGGCCAGCTTCTCTAAGAAAGAAGCCCTAGAATGGAAGGTGCTACTCTGGTTGGCTAAGGCCAGGTAGAGGGCTCTCTTACCCATCTAGTTTTAGAACTTGCCGTAGTCTGCCTACAGCCCAGGATCTCTCCAGCTTTGGCTCACTACCTGGGAGGCTTTTTTTTTTCTGAGACAGGGTCTCGCTGTGTAGTTCAGGCTGGCCTCGAACTCATTATGTAGCCCAGGCTGGCCTCAAACTTACAGTGATCCTCCTGCCTTCTCTCCCAAGTGCTAGGATTACAGGCATGCGCCATTATGCCTATCTTCATAAACTCTTTTTTAAAAAACAAAATCATAGCACTGTTATCACAAAAAGTAACAATAACTTTTTTACATAGTTCAGCCAGTGTTTAATAAATACATTTTCCTAGTTGGTTTATTTAAGTCAGGATTCAGATAAAGTCCACACTTTGTATTTCAGAAACCTATCTTTTCATTAAAAGAAAAAAAACTATAATAGTTCTTTCTTCCTTTTTCCTCCTTGCTATTTATTGAAGAAATTATAAACATTATCTTCAAGAATTTCCCATTTTGGGCTGAGGATTTAGCTCAGTGGCACCGCACCTGCCTGGCAAGTGCAAGGTCCTGAGTTCAATTCCTGATTCAAAAAAAAAAAGAATTTCCCATTTTCTTGATTATATTGCAGTGTTGTTTAACATGTTCCTTCATCCCCCATACTTCCTAGTTGCTAAATTTAGAAGCCTGATCAGATTCAGGGATATTCAGTTGGTATGCCATGTTTTTCTTAATATGTTACATCAGGAAGTATTTCATGATTGGTGCGTGTGTGTGTGTGTGTGTGTGTGTGTGTGTGTGTGTGTGTAAGATTGGTCAGAGAATTCAGTCCAGTCAGTTCTTGTGTAGTCAATTTAAAAAGAACTGGAGTAAATTTGTGCTTATCCTGTTAAATGTCATCTTATTTAATTTAGCCCATCATTCCATCGTTTGGATACCATATCTGCCACCAATGTCTACTTCTCAGATTCATATCATCTGAAAATTTGCTAAGCCTGTTAACCTTGTATTCATCTAAATCAACATAAAAATGTTGAACAGGATAGAGCTGAGGACAGAGCCCTGTGGCATGCTACTAAAGACTTTCCTCCAGACTGACATGGATCAAGCATTTTTGGGGTATGGTTACTTAACCAGTTCTGAATCCACTTAGTTATACCTTGAGACAATCCATCATCCCTCATGTTCTTGCCAGAAATATCATTAGAGAGACAGAGGCATCTAGTATGCAGTTAGAAAGATGAGATTCAGGGAAAGATGAGGGCTGGCGAGAACAATTTGGAAGCAGTCTACATCAGAGGTGTCCTCACCTGGCTACAACAGAATCTCCTGGGTAGCTTGCTAGACTATTCTTAGCTTTATCTCCTGGAGATTCAGATTCTACAGTATGAAGTAGGACTAAGAATCTATATTCTTAATAAGTCCCCCAGGTGATTCAAATGCAGTTAGTCTGAAGGTGGCGTCTAGGAACCACAGATCATTGGGATAGCTGAAGCCATGGAGAGCCTCTCTGGGGAGAGCCTCTAGAGGGGAGAAAGGAAGGCCAAGGATAATACACAGGAATACACATGGAAGAAAGGGAAGGGAGTCAGCAAAGAAAGAGAGAGAAGGAACCCTTCATGAACCATTTGGAGGTGGTGTCTCAGGCCTGGATGCTGCATAGAGGCCATGTTGGTCCTTAGGCAGAGGCCACAGGACTGGTGACCAGAGAGAAGGCAGCTGTGGACTTGTTGATCCTGGGTCGCATTTCTGGTATTTAAGGAAGAACTGAGTATGAAGGAAAGTCAGAATCAACTAATAAATGGCAATAAAAAGGAGGCAGTGGCATGAATGGAAAGGCATTCTTCAAGGGGACAAGGGCAGGAGCTTGCTTGCAAGCTGAAAGGAAGTTACAAGGGAAGAACTGGAAGATACAGGAAAGTGGAGAAATTAGGGCAAGGAGGGAATTGATGGAGCCAGGAAGAAGTGAGTTTAAGAAACCCAAGGCCTGGGGTGGGGATTTAGCTCAGTGGTTCCAGCGCCTGCCTCACAAGTGCAAGATCCCGAGTTCGATCCCTGGTACCCAAAAAAAAGAAACCCAAGGCCAGGGCTGGGCCCTGATGGACCCCTTCACCCCTAGGAGAGAGGGGCACCTTTGTATGCATAGGTAAAGGAAGGAAGTTGGGAAACTTGCAGGAAGCTCTTAGAACCGGTCTAAGGAAGCAAAAATATGAGGGATACAAAAGGAGCCAGACTGAGGATGTGAGGCATACGGGTGATTTGGAGTACTCTTGGCAGTATTTGGAGGGATTATCTACCACTGGATAATGAAAAGATTGCTTATTTGCCAAGGACAAGGACAGAGGCAGGCAGGGTGAGTACACAATGGGCTTGATCTTTATGAGAAAGAGTTAAGAGCATATGAAGAGGGTGGCTCTGAAATACATAGGTCACTATTGGGTCAAGAGGGTCCAGGGTGTTGGGGGACATAGTTATTAAAGTCCAAAGCACAGATGGTATCATGGTGGTTGTCTTAGAAATGGCTAGATGGAAAGGCCAGCCTGAGAGAGAATCCTATGTAGCTATAAGGGGATAGGTGGGTTGGGTGTGTGGGATACACTCAGATAAGTGGAGGTACAAAGAAGGAAAAGAAGGCTCCCATGGTCTCCTAGCAGCTACAAAGGATAAAACAGAGTCTCCTACCTCTTGTTACTTAAATCGGAGAGAACTGAGAAAAAGGCTAGCAGGGGATGGGAAAAGTAGAGTTCAGGGGAATAAATTCTAGGATAAAGGGAAGGTTTTCTTTCGTGAAATAAGAATACTGAGTATCTGGTTGGATTCCTTTTTTTTTGCTTTAATCCATGGCTAGTTCTGGAAAAGCTGGGCTGGTAGGACCTGTGGTGAACATGGGGCTGTTGCCCGGGGTTCCTGTGGAAGGCCCAGGCACCCAGCCTCATGACAGAGTGGGGCTGTCATTGCCAGTACAAAGCCAGCTGCAGCCGCCACTTCATCTCCGAGGATGCACAGGAGCGGCAGGACAAGGAGGTATTTCAGCAGAACATGAAGCGGCGGCTGGAGTCCTTTAAATCCACCAAGCACAACATTTGTTTCACCAAGAGCAAGCCACGACCCCACAAAGCTGGCCGCAAGAAGGCATGTCCTTTCTTTGGGACTTCTGTTTGGGCCTGGGGGATGATGGCATGCAATTTTGAGCCCCCAAGTGTTGGATTCCAGCCTAGGAGAACCCTTAGTTGAATCATCTTTATAGATTTGATGACTGCATCAGTGAGTTTCCTTTTAGATCCTCCTGGAACCAAGAAGAGTAAGGGGAGGCCTCCCAAGGTCACTTGGTGCAGGAAATAAAACAGCAGGAGAAAGATTCATTGGAGAGACAACTCTAGGAGCACCCCCCACCCGGTTGTGTACCCCACCCTCACCCCATCATCCCAGGATGATGCATCCAGAGCCCCTGCTGGGGTGTGGGTCCCTGTCTGGCTGTCAAAGGGTTTGTGAGATGGTAGAGCTACTGAGACTGACATAAATTGCCTCCCCTACTGGTTTAGGAAAATTTTTCCTCCTGTTGACCCTACCAGACAACAGTGATGGATATGAATCCAGACCCTGAAGCTTAGGTTTTCTTTCTTGGTCTTCAGAAGGATGGTGTGGCCAATGCTGAGGCTATAAATGGGAAACCTCCTCGAGATCTGGGCTTTCAGGACACAGGCAAGCAGGGAGTGGGGGTGGGCTTGAGGATGGGAGGGAGGAGGGGAAGAGCAGGCCTGAATTCTGGAGGACCTCTGGGTACATGAGTACTGAGCTGGGCCTCTCCCATCAGGGACTACACAGCCATGCTTGCTTTCAACATTGGAAATGTTTAAAGCATTTATTATCCAGTGTGTGACAGGAGGCACCTGATTGCTAACTATGGCTTATGGGCCCTGAGAACTTGGAAAAGGTTATAGAGAAAAGGAGGCTGGCCTGGGCCTTTAAGGATTAGGGGACTCTCGAGCCTAGTGTCCCATCTGTAAAACCAGTTACTATTGGCCATTGTGGCACACACCTGTAATTCCAGCACTCTGGGAAGCTGTGACAGGAGGATTGCAAATTCAAACCCAGCCTAAGCAACTTAGTGACTTAGCAAGACCCGGACTCAAATAAAAAATCAAAAGGGCTGAGGATGTAGCTTAGTACCAAGGCCCTGGATTTAATTCCCAGTACCACACAACAAAACAAACTAAAACAGCTCCCTGTGAGTTGAGTGTTAATGGGCCTTCCAGCCCTCCAGCTTCTCTTGTTAGGTCAATGGTGGGATCTTGGGCTCACAAGAGAATGGGACCCAGAAACTGTAACCATCATGGTATTCCCTGAGGTCTTAGCTCCTTCTGGTTGCTTCCTCAGGCTCTGCACTCTCCCTTCCCTTCTCAAACCTCTTACTTCCTAGGCCTCTGCCCAAAATAGAGGAGAAAGCAGGCATCTCTGCTAATATGGGCTCTGCCTGTGGGGATAGGAGCTGGCTTGGGGTTGTGTGGTACCAACAGGCAGCTGCTGGTCTGGCCACCCCAACTCAGCTCTTGTCCCTGTTTAGCTGCTGTGATACTAAATGTGGAGTCTGAGGAGGAGGAGGAGGAGGAGAGCGACAGTTCAGAGACAGAGAAGGAAGACGACGAGGGGATCATCTTTGTGGCTCGGGCCACCAGTGAGGTTCTCCAAGAGGGCAAAGTCTCAGGTAATGGCTTTCACACTGCCTCCCTCCCCTCTGGAGCAAGCTGGTTTCCTCCCTCTGCTCTCATGGCCTCTGCTCCAGACAACTCCCTTTTCCTAGTTACTAGTCTAATCACCAGCCAGCATTTCCTGAGCATCTCCTTTCTCTCAGAATCCTGACAGATGATCTGGCTCAACCCTCACAACCACCAAGATGGGGAAACAGCTGATGGAGCCTAAGGGACCTGTGATTTGTCTAGCATCACATGGCAGAACCAGAATTTGAACCTGACCCATCTGACTCCAAAGCCCACAGCCTTTTACTGACATGCTGCCCCCCTTCAATTTAGAGGAGAATAAAGTGATGAGCAAAACCTAACAGTGGGCTCTGCTATGACCCTTGCTCATCACACCTGCCATCAGGTAGATCCCCCTTGTGAGGGTGATGCCTGACCTGGGGGAGAAATACATACATTTCTACAGTTGGAGACCTAATTCACTCATAATGCTAGTCGTCACTGGTAGTTGGCTCAACACCACCTTCAAGTGACCTTTTATGAAGGCTTATTATAGAAAATTTCAAAATACATAATGATAGAACAGTGAAATACACTCTATTATCAGCTTCAATAATTACCTACTCACAGCAAATCTTATTTCAGCTATTCCTTCCCCTAAGACCACTGGATCCTTTTTTTTTTTTTTAATAGTATCTTGCTAAGTTGCCCAGGCTGGCCTCAAACTTGCAGTGATCCTCCTGCCTCAGCCTCCCAAGTGCTGGGATTCAGGTGTGCACCATCATGCTCAGATTCAACTGGGTTCTTAGGAAAAAATATTTCACCAGGCATGGTGGTGCATACCTACTGTAATCCTAGCACTTGGAAAGCTGAAGCAGGAGGATCACAATTTCGAGATCAGCCTGGGCAAATGAGTAAGATTTTAGAAAGGGCTGAGGTGTAGCTCAGTGGTAGAGTCCCTTTGGAGTCAATTCCCAGGACAACCCGCCAAAAAAACCCCTCAAATATACTGTATGACTTTATCAATAAATACTTTAGCATAAAAGATAAGGATTCTTTTAAAAAATACAACCACAATATCATTACCATATATAAAATCTTTGTCAAGTATCTGGTCAGTGTTCAGATTTTCCTGGTTATCTTTTATTTTGGTGCCACAAGGGATTGAACCAAGCACATTTCCATGGACCCAGCCAGTTTTTTGATTTTTTATTTTGAGACAGGATCCTTACTAAGTGGATGAGTTGCCTGATCTAGGCTTGAATTTGTTATCCTCCTGCCTCGGCCTCACAAGTGCTGGGATTACAGGAGTGCAAAACCATGGCCAACTAAGCCTGGGTGTTTTGTTTGTTTTTTGGTGGGTGATGTTTATTGTTTGTTTTGGTTTTGAGACAGGGCCTCACTATATACACCATGCTGGTCTCAGACTCCTCACCCTCCTGCGTCATATGAATGTGTGCTGGATTCACAGGTGTGGCCCTGACACCCTGCTTTTTTTTTCTTTTTTCCTTTTTTTTTGAGGCGAGGGCTTCCTTTATCACACAGGCTAGACCCAAGCTCCTGGGCTCAAGAGGTCCTCCTGCCTCAGCTCCCAAAATAGCTAAGCCTGAACCCTCAGGTCACCACACCCACATTCAGTGGTTTTGACTCCAGAACAGAATCAAAATTTAGATTTTTTTTTTTTTGGTACAGGGGATTGAACTTGGGACCTTGTGCCTGCAAGGCAGGCGGTGGAACCACTGAGCTAAATCCCTGTCCCCAAAATTTGGATTTTGACAAAGACTCATTTACAAGGATCATTTCTATTCAAAATCAAAACCTGATTTTTTTTTTTTTTTTTTGAGACAGGGACTTCCCATGTAGTTCAGACTGACTTTGAATTTACTATGTAACCCAGGCTGGCCTTGCACTTGTAGCATCCTCCTGCCTGAGGCTCCCGTGTGCTGGTATTGTAGACAGCTAAATTAGTTAGAAAATATTAGAAGATGGGTGGGCCCTCAACACTGAACATAATTGTGTGAAAGAGGCACTGAAGACCAGGCTTCAAGAAAAAGAGGAACAAGGACAGCCACATACTTCCCCAAGGAATCAATAGCAGTTATTGATATTCTAAAGAAATATCAATCACCTTGGGTGGGGACCCAAACCTCCCTGGCCCATTCCTTCCCGGAAAGTCCTTGTATGCTTGCTAAGTGACTTGCTTCTTGGTGATCTTAATACTTTTTTAAAATAGCAGTTTTATCCAAATAAATACAGATATGAACCACATATTACATTTGGGTAATGTAGGAACCCTAAGGGGCATCTGTGGAAAGATTTTTGTCCCCAAGGGGACATTTGGCAATGTCTGGAGATATTTTGGCTGTCTTAACTGGGGAGGGTGCACTTGCATTGAGTGGGAGGAGGCCAAGGATACTGCTGAACATCCAACAATGCACAAGGCAGACTCTACAACAAAGAAGTAGCTGTCTCAAAATGCTAATAGTGTCAAGTTTGGAAAACCTTGGTCTATCTCCCCTTTTTTTTTTTTTTTTTTTTTGGATTGAACTTGGGTCCTTGTGCTTGTGAAGCAGAGCGCGGAACCCCTGAGCTAAATTCCCAGGCCTCCCTTTCTTTTCCTTGTAAACCAGGTTGTCCTACAGTCTTTCCTTGTCTGATACAGTCTCTAAAAGTGTCATTTAATATATCTTTCTGTTCCTTACATTTCCTTAAGTCTAGATCGGATTTCAGGTTTGGGGTTTTTGGGGGGGGGGGGGTTGGTATTTGTTTGTACTGGGGATTGAATTCAAGGCCTTTGCACTGAGCTACAACTGAATTTTTTTTTTTCTTGAGATAGGGTCTCACTAAGTCACTAAGTTCCTCAGGCTGGCTTGAACTTGTGACCCTCCTGCCTCAGCTTCCCAGAGTACTGTGATTACGATTGTGCACCAGCACATCCAGCATTCAGTTTTGATTTTTTGGTAGAATGCCTCATAAGTGGTGATGGTGTATTTCCTATTGGCCACATCGAGAAAAACATACCACCTGGTTGTCTCTCTTTTCATGAGGCTAACATTGATCGACTAGGTTCACATGTTGTTCCCCCGATCTATCCTTTATTAAGTTTCCATTAACTTTTCCTTAGTTGGTCTTAATGGCCATTGATGATCATTGCTAGAGCCAAGATTTCATTAAGAGCTGGCTGTGGTGGCACACGCCTGTACTCAGGAGGCTGAGGCAGGAGGATTACTGCGAGTTTGAGCCCAGCCTGGGCTACACAGTGAGTTCAAGGCCACCTTGAACTACTGAGTGAGACCCTGTTTCAAAAAAAAAAAAAAAAGAAAAAGATTTCGTGAAGGGTTGCAAAATGGCAATATTCCACACCTATTTTTCAACCTGCATTTATTAGCAGGAATTCTATAAAAAAACCTCCCCTCATCAATTATTTGTTTACTCTGAGGTACAGACTATATAGAAAAAAATGGGTAAGTGCTTGATTCTTCCCTTTTATCTCAGTCGTCAGAGTTAGACTGACAGTTTTAGTTTTATTGGTATTAAATTTTAACACTGCAGGCCTTTTAAGAGATATAGTTTCAGTTTTAATCATGCATCAACACATTTCATAAGGCACTCAACCATGGGGGCCGACAGACATAGCTGAGTGGTAGAGTGCTTGCCTAGGCACACATGAGGCCCCGGATTCCATCCCCAGGACCACAAAAATACCCAAAAAGATTTAACTGGAAGGCTGGAGATTTAGCTCAGTGGTTCTGCCACCTGCCTCACAAGCACAGGGTCCTGAGTTTGATCACCGGTACCAAAAAAATAAAGAGAAAGATTTAACTGGACTCTTCTGGACTTTATCAATAAACAGATACCTGCTGAGCACTTCTGTATACACAGAGCTGTGCTTGACTTTGGAGGGCCCAATTTGCCTTTCAGAATTTCAGGCTTCCTATAATTCAGCTGCCTGCTGTTCTGGGATTTTAAGCTCCCATACCTTATTACCATCCTATTTGTGGCGCAGCTTCAGCCTGTTGTTAGTTTTGTAAGAGCTCACACTCCTGGGCTGTGTTTCTCCAAAAGACTGCGGTGGGTGCTCAGGCAGTATGCCCAGCAGCAAGGCCTTTGGCCTGGAGCCCCAAGGTCATCCTTTCCCTCACTGCCTCTGTCTCACCTGCACTGGATGGGGGCTGGCAGGATGCAGTTTCTGAGACTGGTGCTTCAGGTCTGGTCAGGATGATAGAGTCAAGACTTCTTTCCTAAATGGCTCCTACCTTCTCACGCTGTAGTAACTTGCATTTTCAGTAGATATCTCTTGAACACCTGCTTTGTGTCCAATCCTGTGCTAGGTGTTGGAGACCTGGAGAGCAAAATCAGCCATGGTGTTTCCTTTCTGCAAGACATTCCAGTGGATGTAATATGGCAACTGTGGAATCAGTTTGCTTATGAGACCGCCCCCCCCTCAGAACCTTGCACTTGGCAGACAGGTGTGGCGCCACTGAGCTACATCTCTGGCCCTATGAGAATGTGCTTTATACTTAAGGACACTGCATTGACAATGAGCTCATGTGTACTCTTTATCCCTAGGAAGCCTTGAGCTGTGCCCGAGCCCACGGGTAATTCCTCCTTCACCAACTTGTGCAGAGAAGGAGCTACCTTGGAAGAGTGGGCAGGGGGACCTGGCAGTGTATGTGTCTTCAGAAACCACCAAGATTGTGCCTGTGGACATGCAGATGGGCTGGAATCAGAGCATCTCATCCCTGGAGAGCCTCGCATCCCCTCCCTGCACCCAAGCCACCACTCTGACCCGCCTGCCTCCCAGACAACAGGATGCTGAAGAGCCTCAGGCCCTTCTTGACCTGTCTTCTGACCCCCACCCTAGTTTTGCCTTTCCCCCAAGCCTGGCTAAGGCTGGCCGCTCTCGAAGTGAGAGTAGTGCTGACATCCCCCAGCAGCAGGAGCTGCAGCCCCTCATGGGCCACAAGGACCACACTCATCTTAGCCCAGGCACTGCTACCTCCCACTGGTGTATCCACTTCAACAGAGGGGCCAGGCTGTAGCCCAGGGCCTTCGGAAGGAGCAGGAGGTAGAGCCCCTGCGGGAAGTATTCCCTGGGCAATGGGGATAGTAGCTTCTTTAGCTTGATATAGGGGCAGAGTGGCCTGGACTGAAGTACCAACTAGGCCTCCTTGGAGCTGGTCAAGGGGGTCTCCTTCGCTGGTTCTCATAGGGACCCTTATAACTTCCCTGCTCCTAACCCTTTACACCTTCTATTTCACTAATGGCTGAGGACCCAGTCCAGAGTTCTTGGGGCTAGGCCAAGATTTGGGTAGCTGATGTCCCTTCCCCAGGGGGTCTTCCTGGGGTCACCATAGACAGCTGTTCCTACCTCCATGCAAGGATGTCATTTCTCAGTGGATACCGGGCTTCCCTGCCCTCTACCCCCTCTCCAGCACCAGGTCAGGGACAATGTCCTGGCAGTGAAGCTCAGTGAGGGGCTGGTCCTCAGAGGGGCTGCAATGGGAGATAGAGCAGGCCTCAACCTGTTGGGTCAGCTACCCACAGTCAATTATTTTTAGGGTAGTGGGAATCTCTGCCTCCATTTCTTGTTATAGCCCCTTTCCTTTGCTGCCAGGTATTGGGGCATTGGTTCCTCCTTTTCCAGGATCAGAGCCAGACTTCAGTTCAGGGATGCTTCTTAGCCAGGGTCCTTCTGGGGATCTGCTCCTCTGGGTCTAAGTCCGGAACTTTCTGATCCTTGGATCTGGGTTTACTAAGATGGGATCCAGTAGTCTCTGGGTTTCTGTGCCACCACCTCAGCATTCCCCAAACAGGAAAAGGAATGCAGGAATCCTAGGGCCACTGCTCCATTCCTCTGGGGGGCTGGGACACCTAGCTGCAATGTGTGAATGGGTGAGTAGCAGGTGGCTTTCGTGGTGTTAGTCCTTGTGTTGTGTTTTGTACTTTGAACCTAAGATACATTAAATATCTGTCAGATGGAAAGAGGTGTTTTGTCCATGTGTCTGAGAGTTCTACGGATATGAGGAACAGGGGATCTGCCTGCCCAGAGCTTCTAGGGTAGAGAACAGAGGGAAGACCCTAGGCAGAACTGTTCGTCTCTGGTCCTCCTCACACCTCCTCCCACACTTTTCCAACACTGCTTTACAGCAGGCCTGAAGTGGCAGTCTAGGGGGTTTAAGTGGCACCAAATAGACTGGGGTTACAGAACTAGGAAGCTACAAAACAGGAAAGGCTAGCAAAGAAAGAGACCCCAGAGGTCAAGCACCAAGATGCCCAAAGATGCAGCCATCACACCTGGAACAACAAAAGCCTTCCTGGAAAACTTGGATGTAGGTGTGGGATAAATGAACAGAAGTATCCTGCACAAGGCAGATGGGAAGGCAATGTCAAGGGAGTTGATTACCCTGTTTATGATACAAATCGACATGTGGGGTCCAGAAATCCCTACATAAAAGCAGTCCAAGGGCGGGGATTTAGCTCAGTGGTTCCATTGCCTGCCTCGAAAGTGCAAGGTCCCAAGTTTGATCCCCAGTACCAAAAGAAAAAAAAGAAAAGCAGTCCAAATCTAATTCCCATCATGTCTGAAGGACCCTTTTAAAAGGCATCTTTACTGAGGTAAATAAAATGCACATACCATAAAAATTCACCCATTTAAAATGTACACTGCAAGCTGGGTGTGGTGGCTCAGAACTATAATCCCAGCACTTGGGAGGCTGAGGCAGGAGGACTTCTGTAAGTTCAAGGCCAGCCTGGACTACCTAATGAGTTCAAGGCCAGCCTGAACTACATAGTGAGACCCTATTTCAAAACAACAAACATAATAATGTACAGCTCAGTGTTTTTAATACGTTCACAGGTGTGCAAACCTTACCACAGTCCACAGAACATTTTCATCATTGCCAAAAACAACCCCAGTACCCCAAAGCAGTCACTCCTCACCTCCCTGCACTTTCCAGTCCTAAGAAATCACCAGTTACTCCATTTTCTGGTCTTTGCATCAGAGGGACTCTTGATACATTTTGAAGGTTACAGAGTTGGTCAACTAACATTTACTTTTTCTATGCTATGCATGGGGAAAACGCGAACAGAATGAACAGTGACTTTGCTTTCAAGCAGTTTACAGCTAGCAGGCCTGGTAGTTAAAAAGGCTTAGTAGTTAACTAGACCTGACAGTTAACTAACAGTTAACAGTTTGGAACCAGTCCCAGCTGTTACCAGCTGTCATCTTGGACATGTTACATAATCTCTTTGAGCCTCAGTTTCCTCATCTATTTCCTTCAAAAGGCTGCTGCCAGGGTGAAATGATAAAACACATGGGAAGCTGGACTTGGAAGCACACACCTGTAATCACAGCACTCTGGGAGCCTGAGGTGGGAAGATGGCAAGTTTGAGTCCAGGCTGGGCAACTTAGTGAGATTTTGTCTCAGGAGAAAAGAAAAAGGGGGAGGGGTGATGCTGGAGATATAAATCAGGGCAAATCCCCTGGGTTCAATCCCCAGAACCAACAGTACTGAAAGGGAGGGGGGAAAAAAAAAAGAAGAAGAAAGAAAAGAAAAAACAAGCCCAGGAGGAATCCAGCCCAGCCCTGACCTGAGGTAAGGGGTATTTGTCATGACCTATTTTATACTGCAAGCCACTGGTGGAAAGTTCTATGGAGCCTTGAGGAAATCTGGGTGGGCTTCTAGGAGAATGTGTGTGTGTGTGTGTGTGTGTGTGTGTGTGTGTGTGTGTGTGTGTAGCTTGCTTCAAGTGGGAGCAGTATAGAACCCCAGGTGGAGGGTACATCAGTAGAAAAAAAGGCTAGAGATGGAAGGCCTTTAGGGAAGCTGGTCCAGCAGCCCAGGGGACATGAATAGGTTGGTGCTGGGGAAACAGGCAGCTGTTCTCAGGCTTTAATGTCAGAATCACTGGGAAGCTTGTCAAACATGCAGATTCCTGGGCCTACCCCAAAAGTTGATTCAGCATGTCTGTGGAGGCCCAGAAACCAGGTAGGCACAGCAGGGGGTGGGTGGCTAGGTAGGTAAGCAGGTGTCTACTATACAGGAGAGCAAGTCAAGAGCTTGTTCTCAGGTATCCACCTTACTAGAAAAGGTGGCAGTACTGGCCTTCGGTGCTGCCTAAGCTGAGAGGAGGTGGCTGATTGGTCTCCCCTAGCTGGGATGGCTGGAGAGGGCTTCCAGGAGAAGGTGCTGTATCCAGGCCTTGAAGGAAGAAGGATTTTGTCATTCTTTTTTTTTTTTTGGTACCGGGGATTGAACTCGGGTCCTTGCGCTTGCTGGCCAGGCGGCAGAACCACTGAGCTAAATCCCTGGCCCCTGGAAGAAGGATTTTGATCAAGGAAGGTGGATGAGAGCCTTCCAGGTAGAGGATACAAGTCTTGTAATCAGATTTGTTTCCCAGGCTAGTGTGGCAGCTGGGTAGAAAGGCTGTGATCCCTCTGGATGGTCATGAATACCTTACCAAGGTCCAAGAAAAGTCTAGAAGGTTTGGGGTATCTGTTGCTTGCACTGTTTTGTGCAGTACTGAAGAAGGGTGTGCAAGGTTTGGGGTGGAGCAAGGGAAATGACTCTGGGTCTCTTATCACAAAGCCCACTGATATCCAGAGCTCACATTTTATTTTGGATTGATTCCTGTTGACAAGGAATGGGAGGCTGAATGAGGGTTGGGCAAGGGGAAGGGGAGGGAGACCCATCTACATTTATGATCTCAGTGGAAAAGGCTGCTGTGAGGAGATTCTGCTGCCAGTGAAGCCACAGAAATGGGCTTCATGAGTCACTGCTCAGTCCTGCAAGCTCAGCTCTCAGAGCCTGCTGTGGTCAGCCGCCCCAGACTGGCTCCAGGCTCTGCTCCCCCAATGTTTCCCACTTGGCCAAAGTCTGCCCCTGCTTCTGTCTGTGACTTTGCCAGCCTGGGACTATGCATCCTATAGTTCTCTGCCTCTTCTGTCTGCCTTTCAGGACTAGCCTCTGAATTTGTCTCTTATCTATGACTCTGGTTTCCATGTGACTCAGATGGGGAGCCTCAGGAAGGTAGGAGGAGTGTGACCAGTTTCAGGCACCGCTAAACAACTGTTCTGTGCCAGACACAGTACAAAAGTACTGGACAACATACATCCAGTCTGCTTACAATGCACATTCTCTGTGGAGTGGGGAAGCCAGGGGCCAGCTCTGCCTCTATCTCAGCATGTCTGTGCCTCCTCTGACTGCCTGCTGTGCCAGAGTTAGCTAGGGCCTGTGGCTTGAGCTTCTTCTTTGCATCTGCCACTGGAAGGTTATGTGTGCCTGCCAGCAGATCCCCCCAGCTCTTAGGGCTCCTGGGGGGCTGGTGGGTGGAAGTGGGCAACAGAGGGTGAGGGAGAGAGCTGGAGGGAGTGACTCAGTGGAGGTGGCTCTGGGACAGAGCAGGGAGGGTGCCAAGGTTGAATCAGATGCTCATTGAGGCTGGAGGAGGGAGGAGAAAGGGGTCTGGCTGGGGGCTGGGACAGCATCAGGACAAAGACAAGGCCAGCTCAGCTACTTGTTCCTCCTTTATTATCTTCCTGAGAGTCTATACTCTGGCTGGATGGGTGGGGGATTATTGTTGTTTCCACTGTGCTTGCTGCTCATGTCCAGGTTAATGAAGGAGGCACCTGCCTTAGGGCCAGGGAAGGCAATTACATCCACTGTCCTCCTCTCCCAGGGATCAAGGGCCTGGGCATTCTGCCAGGGCCTAGGCATGGTTTTGGGCTTGGCGCCTTTTTTATTTTCATTTTTTTGGCAACATAGGCAACCTTATAATCTCCCCACAAATTCTGAGAAGTGTCAGGCCAGGCCCACATATCCCAAAGGGACCTCAAATCTCAGAGCTGGAAGTGATCTCACAGTTGTCCAAGTGATTTTCATCAGTTCAGTATCCTCACTGAGGATGAAAATGAGGGGTCAGGGTAGGGCACAAACACAGCCCCAGAGCTACCAGCAGTGAGCAAACATTTGATATATGGGGTCTTCCCTAGTCCTCCTGGCATTTCTGAAGGAAATAATGACTTTCTTGTTTTACAGGTGAAGAAGGTGAGGTGCAAAGAGAAGAGGAGTCCCTGGAGGTGTTGCACCAGGTGAGTGGAGGAGCATGGCTGGGCCTAGTCTCTCTGCCTCCAGGACCCCAACCTCAGCACTATCTTCCTTGGCTGGACTTTTCTGGTAGGGGGGAAAGGGATGCCACTGAATGCAAAGGAGTGAAGGGTCAGAGGCTTCAATGCTCCCTCAGCCTTCTAGTCCAGAAGCACCATCTATCCTGTCACCGGATCCCATATTATCATGGGGTCACAGTACCAATCTCTAGATCACCAGGACAAAGTTTGTCTTGATACGCTGGGGGTCAACCCCGAGGCCTTGCACATACTAGGCAAGAGCTCCATCACTGAGCCACACCCCAGCTTGTACAGCCTGCCTCTAGGTACATGAGCTTGGGGATCTAGAGGGAGATGGGGGCTGCAGTGGTGGGCCCCTCACTCTCAGCCTCCATGAAGATACTCTGTACTGGCTCCAGCAGCTGCTCTGGGCTAAGTCTCTTTCTAGGGGCTTTCTTGAACCCTGGGCCCGTATTTGTCTTCTTTGGGGGCTGTGAGGAGCAAGAGATCCTCCTGCTAGGGGAGCTTGTTAGAAGGGTCTCCCCCAAGTCCCCGCCCCACCCCCATCCGTGGGCTTGCTCACTCACCCTAGCAACACCACTTCCGGCGCCCGGCCCCCAGGAACGGATGTTCTGCGCAGCCTCGACCCCACGCACTGAGACGCCAGGATGTGTGGGGGGCGCAGGGCGCGGGAGGTGGGAAGCCGCCCGGCCAGTGGCTGCGCCTCCACGCTGTTGGGCTGCCCGACTGTCTGCCTTCTGGGCCTGTGGGCCTCTCTGTGGCACCATTCTTCGGCCCCCAGGGGACCCAGGGGACCCCAGGGGGCTACCCGGGGCCAGTACCCAGCGACCCTGCCCTCCCTTCCTGCCGCCAGGAGGTGGCGCCCTCGGACGCCGGGCGGCTGCGCTGCAGTAGCCGTCGAGGCTCAGTCCGTTCCAAGGATCCCGTCCGACGGCCGTGAGTGTGCGCGGCACCCGCGCCGAGGCCAGGACCTCGCTGCCCCAGAGTAAGTGAGAGGCAGCCCCACTGGCGGGCCTACAAAGCTTGACCAGGCCGGGTCCGAGGGTGGGACACTTGGGCAAAGGCTGATGGGAGTGCAACTAGGACCGGGGCAGAAGGGAGAGACCCCTGACGTTCTTCCCTCTCCATAGGGCTGAATTGTGGTAGCTTCAGCGTTTCCCGTGGCCTGGCACCCAGCCTGGTATTGCCCTCGGAGTCTTGCCCGACCGTCTTCAATCCAGTTCCTGGATGAACTGGGGCCTCTCTTCACACTGAGGCCCAGCCCCTCCCCCACGTGCCCGTAGCAGGCCTACCCTTATCGGGGAGTGATGGAAAAGCCCCAGGAGGTTGGGGCTGAGCCCCCAGACTCTCAGAGCCATACCACCGACTGGAGGTTTGCTGTGTGCAGTTTCAGTGATGCCTGGGAGGAGGAACCAGCTCCTCAGGTGCAGGTTAAGGATGCCAGTCCCCCAAAACTACTGGGGAGCCCCTTGTCCAGGAAGCTACAATTACCTCCACAAATGAGGGCTGCAGATGGGTCAGGGGATGGCCAGAGGAGCACTTTAGGAGGCTCTTCAGTCCAGCCAGAGAAACCAGCCCCCTCCGGAGCAAACAGCCTCCTGGGCCTCATGACCTCCCACCTCAGCCCAGGGGGAGGCTTGATAGGAGACCCAAATCCAGGTGGGGCACTGCCAGCTGGCTTGGGCCCTGGGGGTTTGGACAACAACCTTGTGGGCATTGGAAACCCTTTATCAGAGACATCACCAAAGCTGCTGGAGGCAGGTAAGGCAGGCTGGTCTAGGGATACCTGGAGGTGGGTGTTGCAAAGTGGGAAGGTCTCTGACTTTACTCAGTTGAAGCCCTGATCCATGAAGGGGTCTCTGGATAATGCGGACCCCTGCTATTTCCCTTTCTAAGACTCCAGTGGATCCAGTCTACCTAAGCCTGCTGACTGCCTCCTAGCCCAAGACCTTCCCTGGGAGCTGCTGGCCAGTGGCATGGCTTCTTTGCCAGGTAGTTGGGAGGGTCTAGAAGCTGTGGAGATGGGGTGGC